TTTGCTTACAACGGGTTAAGCTTGCCTGAATGCCGAGAGTCCTCTGAGTATAAGGCTATCAACGATATGCGAAGCTGGTCGTGCGCGACATTTCATTCGTTTATCTTCCCTATGTACAACTACTGTGATGTTCTTAACACCTGGCGCCGCCTCAAAATGGATATTAGGCTTTCTTTCTCTTTCTTCCATTGCCCCATACCACCAAGCGCGCATACGGCTTGTTGCCACTTGAACCTCTAGCCAGGAACGAGGCAACAGTCGTTCGGATTTCGCAAGCAGTACCTAACAAGTAAGCCCATTCGCTTGCCTTGACTCAGACAGAGATTGCTCCCACTCCGTGCTGGAAGGCAGCCCCAATCGCCATGCACAGAAGATGTAGCAGCGATTGCAGATGTGCTTAACTGACGTCGCAACTGCTCCTGAGCCCCCTTGGTAGCGACGATGAGTAGGAGCCTTAGCCACTGCATCAAGAAAGGAGAGTGGTGGATTTTTATTCAACTTCCCTTGTGAACCTGCTGCCTTAGAATCACTAACCCGGGTCAGTTGTTGTTCGAAGACACTGAGTCTTGCTCTAGGTTAAAAGGCACTTTCAGGCTAACGTCAGCTCGAATATTTACTCATTTAGGGTTTCTGTCCCCGAATACCTCTATCGTTTCCAATAGGACGCCATAGGCTGCCTGTGCTCTACCGCGGGGCAAGTATGTGGGCACTAGTATTGTTTGCCTGAAGTTGGTGCCACTGTGCTCGAGTGGAGCTTGGTTCTTGATGGCCGATGAGTTGTTTTGCATTTGTCTACGGTGCTAGTGTGGGAACCAAAGCGGAGCCTTGGTTTGGTTGCCTCTTGTAGCATGTGTTGCAACAAGATGCGCTGCAACTCACGACAGGAAATATAACGCTTGCTCTCTGGCCTTAATCAATGACAGGAGCGAGCTGCAATGTTGATAAAGCACTTGTAGAACGTNTGCATTTGCTTACACGCAACCTACCAGGGCCAAGGGACGACTTCTGTGCTAACTGTAGGCGAACCGTGCAGGGTGCGTCGTAGGGAGCCCGTGCGTTCGTGAACCTCCTACAATTTCACAAACCAACTTCCCGTGCAATGTGCAAATTCACCCTTGTGCGTGTGTGTGGTTAATGCTACTGAACTGAATTGTGTGCTGCGGCTGCTCGCCCACTTCCCGTGGAAACATTGCATGAGCATCAACTTCCCCACAAAATATATTTCAGGCCAGGCTTGGTACATAATGCACAACGGGCAGTCGTGCTTAATACTTTCTTAACAACCTAAGAGTGCGTAGAGCATCGCGCACTCTCCAGCACTGAAAAGGGGGGATCCGGTGTAGCTGATCGGTACACAGTGGACATTGTCCAACCACCGTTGCGACCACTCACAGTTTAGGTGGAAAGTGAAGGAAAATGAGTAGAGTTGAAAAGTTACTGGACATTTTTGGGTGCTGTGTATCTGTTTGCCATCAGTTCCGCGCAGTTGCTGTGTCTACACCCTGGACGTTCACAACTCGATGCGGAACCCGCCACCGGGCGACTGTCATGGGAATGTGGCAGGCGATATGTATGCGTCGACGCATCTCCAAAAAATGCAGCTAATTAGCAGGTGCCGTGTAAATAAATGTTGAAACAACGGCTTTTTGCGCAGTGGGGTGGGAGGGATACATGAATGAGGAATACAACCAGCGGGCCCACCATGCACCGCCAACGGGGGAAGTGACTGAACAGGTTAATCCGCGTTTCACCTCCTGCGCGAATGGTTTCACAACATCAGTCTGCAGCCCACTATATTTTAGTGTGCCTTGAGAATCCGGCAGAATCGGTTCATCCTTCTGCATTTCCCGAGGGGAAACCTTGCAGCTGTAGTACAAACCTCAGGGGAACTATGGCTGTAGGCCTATCAGGAAAATGAATGCAGGGTCGCCACAAGCGGAATTGGTTCGTTTTACTTGCCAAACAGCAACTCTCGGATAATCCCATTGATTTGTCTTCCCC